GCCTGGTAGCCTTCCCTTTCACCCCCGGCTTTTCAAACTCGATTTATTTCTTCCACACTACATCTTTCCACACCCTAAGAAAGTCTTTCCTAATTCCTCCTGGCTCATAGATGTTCTCAACTTCTCCAGAAGCCTACGATACCTTTAAATCTATACCACATGACAAAGCATGCAATCCCATCTTACGTTTTCTGATACCTCGGACATATACACCATATCTCCTCAACTAGATTGTTAGCTGAGAAAGGAAAGAGTGAGGCTGCCTGTCTCTCTGAGTGGCTCCTAGGCATCCGGAACAGTGCTACATACCTAGGATGGACCCAAAGTACTTGCAGATCCTACCTCTCTGTGGCCTCCAGCAGAGAACAGCGGCCACCATCTAGCCAGGGAACAGCTGCAGCCAAGCTCCTAGGCAGCAACTCAACAAGTCAGTCACAAGGCCGGGAGTAGTGGCTCATGCCTGTAATCCCAGTACTTTGGGAGCCACGGTGGGTGGATCACCTGAGATCAGGAGTTTGAGACTAGCCAACATGGTGAAACCCTGTCTCTACTAAAAATACAAAAAATTAGCTGGGCATGGTGGTGGGTGCCTGTAATTTCAGCTACTCGGGAGACTGAGGCAGGAGAATCACTTGAACCCAGAAGGTGGAGGTTACAGTGAGTGGAGATAACGCCACTGTACTTCAGCCTGGATGACAAGAGCAAAACTCCTTCTCAAAAAAAAAAAAAAAAAAGAAGTCAGTCACAGAAAAGAGAAGAGGAAGCCGTATCCCAGCTACACTGAGTTTTGTATAGACCCTGCCTCCAGGCCGTAAGTCTGACAACCTCCCACTAAGACACCTCCCCTCCTACCCTAAGCTGAGCTTTTAGGACTTCTCAAGTCCTACTATTTACCTTATTCGGCGCTCATCTGCACCCCAACAAAGTAAGGAAGAGACATCACGATCGGTTTTGTCTCCGGCCCCTGGCAGGCTTATCCTGAGACCCAAGGGCTTCAAATCAACACCCAAAAAAAAGCTTTTATAGCTGTTCATAGGACTCCTCCAAGAGCAGTTCTCCCAAAGCATGTTACGAAATATTGTTCTGTTGGAATGTTAAGACACAGAAAAAGAGTATCAAGTCTCCTATGTTTAGAAATACTGTGTTAAAGAGATTTACACAGAATCTTGCATTGTCTCATTTTTGTTGCCTTTTCCTCCAGAAAGTTTCAGAGCTTTTCATGGACATCATGAGTCTCCAGAAAGGAGCTGGAATAAACCACTCCAAACGCATTTGACCACAGAATGGTTTTTCCAAGGTTGCTTTCCCCAAGAACAGTTTAGCGAATTCCATTTAGGACTTCACTTTCCATCTTCTTGGAAGTTCCCCCACAAAGTTTTCAGAGCTGCTCTCCCAGGCATTTGACCTTTTAAAAGAAATAGAGAGATAGATACAGATACATAACATACCTATCTCTGAACACCTAAGGAAGACATTCATGGCACAAAATAAGAAGTCTACAAAGAAGAAAACTTAAAACCGTGAGAAAGTGAATAGCATTGTGTTTAGTACTGAAAACAAGCTAATCCTGCAGAATTTCTGCTGCTTGGGAGGACCAGTGTGGTCTTTCCAGATAAATTCTTGGCTTTTTGTCCCACAGGTCACAGTTGCATCTCCTCCTCCACTTCATCTATTAAATCCCGCTGAGCAAAGAGCACTTGCTCCCTACATAACCCCGAGCATGCTCTAGTCCTTACCAGAATCAACTCCCTCCGAGATAAAAGCAAATATAAAATATATAATGGGTGCTGTGGACATGGGGAGGTCACCAAAGGGCCAGAAGAGAGCCACAGGCTTGTCATGGGGGTTGTCACATTTTACCAGGCACCTCCGAGTTACCCAAATACAGTCATGCATCACTTAACAACATAGATCTGAGAAATGCAGCATCAGGCAATGTTGTGCAAACATCATACAGTGAACTTCCACAAACCTAGATGGTGTAGCCTACTACACGCCTAGGCTGTGTGGTATAGCCTACTGCTCCTAGGCTACAAACCTGTACAGCGTGCTGCTACACTGAATACTGTCGCCTACTGTAACACAGTGGCATTTGTGCATCTAAACAGATCTAAACATAAAAGAGATACAGTAAAAACATGGTCTTTTATGGGACCACCATAGTGCATGCAGTTCATTGTTGATTGGAGCACTGCTATGTGGTATACAACTAATCATAGAGTTGATTCACAGAAACTAAGGGATTTTCAGTGCAATAAGACCAAAGAGAATAGAAAAAAAGAGTTTTGAATTTTGGTTTCCTTGTTGGCACAATGAAGAGATTGGATTACACAATATGTGAAGTCATTGCCAAGGTGAATTTTCAATACAATTACCATCGCTGACTTATTGGACCGAAACTGTTATCTCAAAAAATGTCCAAGAGGAAGCAGTGCCAATAGCAAAGAAGGCCAAATCTATCATATCTCTCAGGAGCGAAATTCCCACTCCTTCCCCTCTTCTTACATACTGTCCCCAGATGAAGTCATGTTTTCAAGAAAAGGATTTAGAGGATAAAGAAGTTACCGGAGCACAGGGCTTAAGGAGGCTGTGCAGGCTGTGGGCTGCCCCATTTTGCTTGGAAGCATCTCTGCTTGCACCAGACCTGGGCTCTTTCCTATTCCAGGCTACATCTCAACTCATATTTCCAACTGATTATGCAATAACTTTTAGGCCAGTTAGAAACAAAATATTAAGTGGAATAATATGTTAATGCTACAAAAAATAAGAGAGAAGGGGAGAGAAGTACTTGATGAAGTTAGCTATTGTTAAGTTTTCAAGAAATTAACCAAATTCCAAGACCCGGGATCAAACAAAAGAGAAAAATGCAGAAATAGTGTTTGGCTTTAGTGGTGTGACAAATAAGGCCTTTCTCTTTATCAGGCCAGGTAGGGTCTCCTGCAAAGATCCATGTGGGATCCCGCTCTAGAAGGGCTGAAGGCAGTGATAGAAGATGATCTACTAGCAGTGTTACTACTCAGTTCCTTACAACTAACATACCCGTTTCCAAGACCAGTCCATTTTCTCAGAAAATGTCTCTTAAGTTAGTGTTTTGTTATTTTCATCACTCGCAGTCAACATGTGCAAGTTTGACCTGTTTGCTGCAACCCTTGACCTCCTCCCAGGCCTTTCTGTCTTCCAGCCTACCCAATGTCATCAAATTAACTGTCTTTATTGATCACTTTGATCTTTGATCATCTTCCTTTCCCACCTAAAACTCTTCACAGTTGCCCGCTGAGCACAGAATTAAACCCGGACCCTTCAGCCCAGCACATGCTGCTCTCTGCAATCTAGTGTTCTAGCCTCCTCCTTTTCTTTCTCTGCCATGCATTTCTTGAACCCAACCAAAAGCCAGCAGGCAAGGCGGCCCATTGAGGCAGAACATTCCTGCAATGTCACGTGGCGCCGAGTACGCTGGGAAAGGAGAGGGAATGGTTCTGACGGAGCAAACAGAACAACCCACACAGCCACTAATACAGTGTTCAAATGTAGATAAGTAGAAAATGGGACCAAAAAGTATCTGAAAAAAAAATAGGAGTGAATATTCATATAGTCTTGGGGTTAGGCCTTTCTAAGCAGGATAAAAAGTGCCAGAGCTTGTCCTGGACCCCAGACAATGTGTCTCCATAGCTGATGCTTCATATGTTAATACTTGGAAATGTAGACATATACAAATGGAAATAAAGAGCTGTTTATGGGTTAGGAAATCAATAAGTCTATTATACAAATCCAAAAACTGTTTAATTTCAGTAATCAAGAAAATTTAAGCACATGACAGTATTTTAATCTATCAAATTGGTAAAATTTTTAAATAGTTTACTGCAACTATTGTCCCATATATAATTCAATGAGCAGACAAATCTATTAATATCACCTTCTTGGGGTCAATTGGACAACAAATATCAAAACCCTTAAATGTTTTGTACTCACATTTTTTGATCCTAAAGAATAAATTATTATTATAATTTTGAGACAGAGTCTCTGTCACTCAGGCTGGCTGGAATGCAGTGGAGCAATCTCAGCTCACTGCAACCTCTGCCTCCCTGGTTCAAGTGATTCTCCTGCTTTAGCCTCCTGAGTAGCTGGGACTACAGGCATGTGCCACCACACCTGGCTAATCTTTTGTATTTTTAGTACAGACACGGTTTCGCTGTGTTAGCCAGGCTGGTCTCGAACTCCTGACCTCATGATCTGCCTGCCTCAGCCTTGCAAAGTGCTGGGATTATAAGCATGAGCCACCACGCTCGGCCAAGAATAAATCATTAGTGTATACAAAGATTTAGCAACAAAGATGTTTAAGGTCGAAGGGTTTAACAGAACAAAATGTTGGATATAAATTAAATATCCCTAAATAAGGAAAGACTTACACAAATTACTATTTGTCTATATGACAAAATACTATGCAACCATGAAATATGACATCTTGTAAGATTGTTATGCCATAAAAAGATATTCTGATATGCTCCTGAGAGCAAAGGCAGTTTAAAAATATTGTGAACAGTGTAATACTACCTATGTTTAAATATGTATTTTAAAAGCCTAAATGATAATATAAAATTTTATCAGTGGATATCTTTAGGCAACAGGATTCAAGTGGTTTTATGTATATATTTGTTCCTTATCTGAACTTTTCAAATTTTCTGCATGAAATACTTTTGTAATAAGAAAAGCATAATAAAAACATTATACATTAATTGAAAACTGCTTCTTTTAGATGCAGAGTGATTTTGTACACGATCCTAAGCAGCTTCACGATCCCATTCAGGCTGTGAGCTATACAACTCCAGTCAGGCACATTCTTTAGTAAATCTGAACTTATTTCCAAATAAAACAAAAAACAATAATGATCATAATCTACTATAATTCAAAGTTAATTTTTCCAAGTGAAGATAAAGGACAAGAAGAGGTATAAGTGAGTTCCTCGCATCAAAACCTGGCAGCATGAAGCCAGGGACACTGACCTCTTCATTCAACCTTCTGGGGTGCAGCCTTTAGATCCTGCTGCTTTGTAGCAAAACTTCCAGTGCCTACAAAAACCTTTGTGAAACTAAGCCACAGAAAGAAAGAACCCTTGTCTCTCAGCTAAAGGCAATCTGCCAATTTATTTTCATCCTTCATCTAATTCTCAGTTGGCCAGCTAAGTGAAACAGGTAACCAGAGACAGGAGAGAAGGCCAGGGATAAGAATGACAGATAAGCAAATAAAACATTCATCAGAGTCCATTCTCTATGTCACCAACACATTTTATATGGCTCCCAGTGAGAGTGGCTGTTTAAAGAATCAATATTGCATGAAAAAAGAATGGACAATTGGACAGAGAATAATACACAAAGATACAGATACAGAATAATGATACAGAAAGAAGATGCACATATTCTAAAACATGGAATAGAATATGAGAAGAATGTTTACCTAGAGAAGGCTGCTCCTTGGTTAGACCTCCATCTTCTAGCTCCCCAAGAAGAGAACGTTGTCCTTTTGCTGTTTGGAAATATCTCCCTGGTGAAGCAGAGACCATGCTGGGTGGAGGACGCTTGCACTGCATTCCTAGTGGGACTTTCAGAGCCCAATCCATTTATACTTGCATTCTCTCAGCATTTAGTCCAGCACTTCACATGTTATAAGCACTTGGCATACATATATTATGTTGATTTGTCTCCAAAATATAAGAAAAGACCAAAAGAGGCCAGGGAAACCGTTTCTTCCTTTCGGTGTTCAAGTGCTGTATGGTCCAGTAGAGGTGAGCATCTCACAATTGATTTCAGGACACAGAGTAGCCCCCACCCCAAACCGTATCACCCCCCAAAATCCTTAGCTTCTAGTTGAAGGGAGACTGGAAAAAAAATCCTGTAAATACAAGTCACTGTTTGATGACCCGAGGCAAGTTACTTAACCACCCTAAGCTTCTGTTTCCTTATCCACAAAAAGGTGGGGTGAGAGAAAGGAAGAGTTTTACAAGCAGATTTGTATAACAGAATCTAGGAAAGGATCTGACATGAAGTACCTGCCAGTAATGAATGCAATTTCCTTGCCTTCCCTATTCCTTGAAGTCACTTCATTTCATCGTCAGAGATAAGACGATACCCCTACAAGAGGTCCTGACTGGTTTAATTTCACACTGAGTTATAAATCACCAATATTAGACCCTTTCTTGAAAATTGCTTCTAAAAAGAAGAGGGAACTGGGTGCCACCAATACATGAAAGACAAAGAAGAGGTGTGAGGGAGGGACCAACATGGGGGTAGATCAAAAGCCGAAGTCAACAATATCACCTACTATTAGTTCTCAGAATATCTTAGTCAAAAGTAGACAAGTTTTTAAGAGTTAGACATGCCTACTGAAGTTGAGCAATTATACAAAATATTCTCTTTTTTTATTTGAGACAGGGTCTCATTTTGTCACGCCAGCCAGAGTGCAATGGTAGAATCATGGCTCACTGCAGCCTCAACCTCCTGGGCTCAATTGATCCTCCTGCCTCAGCCTCTGTAGTAGCTGGGACTACAGGTGTTCACCACCATACCCAGCTAAATTATTTTATTTTTTAGAGACAGGGCTTTACCATATTGCCTAGGCTGGTCTCAAACTCCTGGGCTCAAGCGATTGGCCCACTTCAGCCTCCTAAAAAGCTGGGATTACAGGTATGAGTCACCACACCAAGCCTATAAAATATTCTTAAAGTCAAAATCATCAAAGATATCGTGAGACAGGCATCAGGAGCCCTGGGTCCTTGCCCCAGACTCCCCTCCACGCCCTACATGAGCTGTGTAGTACACTTGGGTAAGACCATGAACATGAACATCAGACACTTGAACTCTAATCTGCATTCTGCCCCAGAAGCTGTATGACCTTAGACAAGGTGCCTAATCCCTGCAGGCCTCCTTTCCCCTGTAGTCAAATGGGGGTACGAATGGCTTGTTAATGAATTACTAAATAGGTAAATAAGATAATACCTGTAGAACATTTAGCACTATGTCGGGCAGTCTAGGTCATCAAACAATGGGAATCTCTACTCATTATCTGTGCAATTGTAGAAAGGCATTTCTCTCTGGATATGTTTCCTTATCTGCAAAATGGGGAGCAGGGAACTGGAAGACAACCTCTAGGTTCCCTTCAGAAAGAAAAGTTGTCCGATTCTCATGCAAAAGCCCAGCCTCTCTCAAGGCAGCTCTTTCAAGGAGCCCAGCAGCTCGAGAGCTCAGAGGCACGGTCTGAGTCTGGCAGCTGCTTCCATCACGCAAAGCAATACGACAATGTGCTGAAAGGATCTGTGAGAGAAGCAATTCCATCCGGGCCAACTTGAAGGAAAGACTTTGTCAAGATCATTTTGAAAATGAAACGTGACTTCCCCCCCACCCTTTTTATTTTGTGGCTTTGTTTTGTTTTTAGGTCAAGAAATGAGAAGGATGCCAAGCTGAGCACAGTCCCTGGAGGTTTCTGCAGGATCACATGTCTCTGCAGAAATGCCATTTTAACTGATGTAAGTGTGAAGGACTTGGAGCCCCAGGGATTAAAATTCTGCCGAAATACACATGTTTTTTGAGGAAAAAAAATAGAGAGAGAGCGCTCTTAACCCAGGAAATGCAAAGCTTTTTGGAAAACTGTTTGAAGCCTGATATGGAAGATATCAGATGCTCGTGGCCTTTCAGCAGTCCCCTGGTGTTGGAGGCTAGCATGAGCTCACACCTGGCCATGCTGGCCCTGGGCTAGGGGGCAGGGAAGAGAAACACCTGTCTTAGCTCATCTCACATATACACACATGCATTCCTAGGCCTGGGAACTTGTTTCCCCCACCAAGGACAAGGACATGTTTTATGACTGCATTTGTATTTTTATGACAAAACAATCCCACATTCGTCTGAGAGGAAATGCGATTCAAGCAGCCTGGGAGACATGACACCTGGGCTCTGCAAGGCTGGCTTCATCACAGCTCACTTTTTATCCTCTCAGCTCACTGCAAGGGCCGTCTTCTCCTTCTGCAACGTGGGTCAGAGGGAGTGCCCCCCAGCTCTCCCTTGGGTGAAGGGATCAGCGATCATTTGTGGCAAATATTTGTCTCTCAGAAGGTCTGGCTGTGAGTCTTGCATGTCATCTCACTTCTCTGAGCCTCTGTGTTCTCAGCTTTTGAGAAAGGTGCAACACATCTTCCTCCCAGGTGGTCATAACACTTCAATGACATAGTGTGCTAAGGTTCTTACGACGTATGAAAAGCTAAATTCATGAGATGTCAGTGTCTCCATCAGTGATTATTTATAATCAGATACCTGCTGATTTAAGGTGATGGGAGCATTTGTATGAGTGCGTAAGTGTGTGGGGGTGTGTGTAAGTGTGAAGACACTTTGCACAGAACAGGGGGATATTAACAAGTACAACTCAGGTACCACCCCTCCTCAAAATACCCACCATCCCTGGGGGCAAAAAGGTAAGTGCCTAAACAGATAAATAAGGAACACTAAACAGCAAAGAAAGAAGATGCCCCAAGCAAGCATGGTGCTGATGATCGTGGATATTAAGAACTAGAAAGAAAGATGGATGCAAGAATGAGAATGGGAATACTCAGGAAGGCTTTGCGGAGGAGGGGAGGATCTGCTGGATCCTTAAAGTAAGGCAGAAAAGACTTGGTAGGTAGCACACAATTGGTCAGGGACCTGCCAACACCCTGTTGCCCTAAGTGGGTGGAGCCCAAAGGAGTCCCCCAGGTGTGCCTATAGTATAAATCTTTCACACGGGCAGCCATAGTGGCTCACGCCTATAATCCCAGCACTTTGAGAGTCCAAGGTGAATCACTTGACATCAGGAGTTTGAGACCAGCCTGGCCAACATGGTGAAACCCCATCTCTACTGAAGTGCAAAAATTAGCCAGACATGGTGGTGCATGCCTGTAATCCCAGCCACTCAGAAGAGAATCACTTGAACCCAGGAGGTGGAGGTTGAGGTGAGCCAAGATTGTGCCACTGTACTCCAGCATAGACAGAAGCCCTGTCTCAAAAAAAAAAAAACCAAGCAAAAAAACAAAAAAAACTCACTTGAATAAGACGAGTATTAAGTAAACTTCCCACAACATCTTTCTAACTGAAATAGGGTTATGTCATGTTGTTGCTGTACTTTATGGTTTTCAGGACTCATGTTTCCTGCCTGGAGGAGAAGAATCCTTAGCCTCAGCAGTTGGTAGCAGCAGGAACTGCTGAAGGCCGGAGTGAGAGCCCAGAGGATGGAAAGAGACAAGAACTGGTTGGAAGTCTGTATAAGAAGCAGGAAAACCTCCAGATCTTCTCCATCGGCCTGCACAGCCCAAATGTTGCCATCTTAGCCTGGCAGAAGATGGGAGATTTAGTCCTGAACAAGTTAGACAAGGAAGCTCTCGAAACAAGAGTAGTAGGCACAGCTCTGAGCAGGAGAGACAGATGCTGCACTGAACGCAGAGGCACTAGGTAAGTCCTTACGATGAACGATGGGCTTCACACTTCTTCCTCACCTTAGAGAACTCTTACGAAAGTGACAGCCAGGTTTACAGTTCCCAGCCCTAAGTGGGTGGAGAGCTAAAGAGCTGGAAACTAAAGAGCTCCTCTCTAAGACGGGTCCAATTCCCCCCTGGGAATAAAACACCTACAGATGTTGAAGTTTCATCCCAACAAATGATCCTGATTCCTAACTGGGAGTCCTGTAGTGGCACCCAGTAATCAAGGAGCCACTCCTCAGCTCAGCTACCCCAATCAACCTGTGAGTACTTCAGCCTTTAAAAGGATGGCTTGTGGGTATCCAGGACTTGATGAAAGTCTTTAACATAAAAAATACACCAGAAAAGAGAGAAACGTAGAAGAAGAAAAAAATTAAAACATATTTAATATAAAATATATAACAAAGAATGGAGCAAGATTGAGAGCTATGAAACAAGAATAGGGTACTATTTGGCCCAGCACTTTGGGGGACCGAAGTGAGTGGATCACCTGAGGTCCACTCCGGTGGATCACTGGA